GCAAGGGCAATCCCCAGGCTGCTGGACTGTCTGTCCCAGGAGCAGCTCAGAAGTGGAAAAGAGGCTGCAGGATGGGCGATTTCTGCCAGAATCGGGAATCCATGCACAATCAGGGTCAGCCTCCGGGGCATCCCCCCAGCCACATCCCATTACAACCATGCACAGCTGGGGGAGGTAAAACAGGTCAAGACACTGAAACGGCAGTCAGGAACAAGCACTGCCACCCGCAAGACAATTCACCTTGCCCCAGCATAAGGAGGACACCAAAGGTGAACTGTCCTCCTGAGTCACAGCGGCCTGTAAGCTGTGGGTTGACTGCCCTACCCTGATGAGTCTCACGCTGTTCCTGTTGACCAAGCGGAGATCATCTAATGGGGAAACAGAAGCTGTGAGATGTGCTGACAAATCAACAGTGAACAGAAACATGAATTAGAGAGGGAGGGTAAGAGCCCGGTGCTTCACATACAGTTAGGGCTGAACTGTTATGAACACCACCACGATAGAAGCACAAGTTATTTGTGGCAGCTCAGGAACAGAGGAGTCATGCACGTTTCTGCCAGTCTGCTCCTCTAAGGAATGCTGGAAGCAAGCCATCCACAGAACCATAGAGAGGCTTGGACTGCAAGGGACTTTGGCACCTTCCTTCTCCATCCTTCTGCCCAAAGCATAAGTAACTCTGAAAGTCCTATCAGGCCTTGCCCTGGCAAATCTGAAGATGGAGATGCCACAGCCCCTCCAGGCATTCTGTTCTGGTGCTTAACCGTGTTCACGAGGAAAATTCTTTCTAGCGTCCCGCTGGCATTTCCCTTGCCACAACCTGCAAGTCGCTGCCTCTTGTCCTTCTGTTCCAACTGACTGCACTCAGCAGAGGCACACGCAGTGGCTCAGGAAATCAAATACACAGCAAGCCTTAAGACAAAGCTGTTCGATGACACTTTGAATGGAACCAAATGAGGGTTGCTGTAATCCTACCCCTCCCTCTCCCAGCTCAGCCCATCCCTTTATAGGCTCGCCTTTGACCCACGTCAGGGAGCAGAACCCCAAAAAGTAGTCAGTTGTAAAAAATAAACAAAAAACCCAGCAATTTCTGACAGTGACATCAATAGATTAAATCATCATAATTATTTTGATGTGGCCAACTTTCAACCCGTTATCTCCTCAAACCAGCCCACCACAGGACCGGGTAGCAGGTTGTCAGCACGAGGAAAGGCACAGAAACACACAGCAAATTGAAGGGCGTAATCCCCCAGCCCTGACTTGTATCATCTTAAAGTGTTGTGGAACCACTCCCTGTGTGTTCGGTGCAGACAAGGAGGTGAGAAGAGGGCTGGAACGAGAGACCATAAACTAAATTCTCCTCTGCTCGCTGAGGATAAGAACGACCTCCCCTGAAAAGTAGCACAAACAGCAGGTCAGGCCACTGGCAGATCTGATTTGTCATGTGCTATGTAGCCTCCTCATCAAGACAACTTTTCAATGAGGCCTGGCAGCCTCCCCTGCCCCAGAAAAAACAAACACAACAAAAAACAAACCAAAAAATGTCCCCAAAAACTCAGTAAATAAACATGACCTCTTATCAATAAAGACTAAAACCACAGGTATGAGAAACGACCACCACTCAGCTAAAAGTCAGTTTCAATCATCTTTAACCAAAAGGACTGTGGTGATAGCTCAGTGGGTGAGCAGTGGAAGATCCAAAGCTAATTCTTAAGTGCAGCAAATGGACTTCTCTCAAGCTATACTTTCTTTGAAATCTCCGCCAGTACATTAAGCTAGACTTCAGCGAGGCAGAGAAGCCTAGTAATGGTCGAGGGAGAGTTTTCATAACTCATTTCATTTGCTGCTTTGACAGCAGCACCTTCACAGAGCCGGTGTGTTAACGGGCAGACGAGGCAGCTTTTCTGCGGCTATGGGTGCAGTGCCCTGGCAGCCTAAAGCAACACGTGTCAGTGCTGCTGCAGTACCTCCCTCTTCCCTGGCGCTGGGGTTTGCAAAACTGAGATGCAAAGTAACCCGCCTGAAAAATCGGGGGGAGGTGAGGGTGTTTGTTTTTACTGCTAGGATACAACATGAAGGGAGGAGACTGCATAGTGGATTTAAATCACCATAGCCCCATGGAAGTGACAGAAGGGACAAGTTAAAGAGGTGGTACTGATAGCTCAGTTGACTCTGTAGCTCAGGCTTCCCCACCATGGGGACACCACCAATCCAGAGCTAGCGCTGCCTGAAGCCAGTTCAAGAACCCTCTTACCGCCGCTTATCATACACAGGCGATGTCTCCCGACAGGCTGACAGGAGCCATCACATGAGCATCAGGATTCCTACATCTCCAAGGAAAGTCACTGGGAGCTTCTATCTCACTTCTCACCTGCAACCTTAGTTGCTGTTGTTTATTAGCAACTGTCAGCATCCAACCAGCATGCAAAGCGCTGGACTAACAATTTATTAGCACAGAGAGAAGAGAGCTTTGTGTTACTGACAGGGAAAAAACACCCCACCAAAACAAAACCCAAAAATCAATCAGATTTCACTTCCTGAGATCCATTCTGCCAAAGTATTTTTCGAGCGAGCCTTGTTTTGCAACCCGGTCACTCACATTTTAAGCCTAAATGTGAAAAGCTATCGCAAACTCCAGCAAGAGAGACAGCGAATAACATCCCGTAATCCTCACCTCGCTACTCCGTATGCCATAAATAAAACAACGAGCCACCGAGCAGAGACTTTGCACCTGAAGTACCTGTTCTGGAAATGAGCTCAGGAAGATTCCTCTCCCCTTGCCAAAGGGCTTCCAGCTGAGTTCCTAGGGAGGCGCTTTACCACTTAAGGCACTTGAAAAATTCCTTTCATTCCCTCCAATCCCATCTTCAGACTCCTGGACTTTTACTCCTTTAAACTGAAGCCACCACAGTGTCACGAATGCTGGAGAGCTTTCTGAGAAGAAAGACGCCTCTGCTGCAGTTCACCATGACAAGACACTGAGCCCCCAACAGGCAGCTTCAAACTTTTGAAGATGAGGCACACAGCAGCACCTTCAGAACTGACAGACGGGCAGCAGCTACAGCATAAATTCACAACTACAGATCACCAGCACCAGGATAAAAAACTGGGAGCACTCCCTACCAGCAAAAGAAAAAACAAGGCCCAGGAACAGCCGAGACCTCGGACAAGCTCCCAAAGGCTCACCGCTGCACTGACTTGGGAGCCTGGCATCGACCTCTCCCATCCGTACTGCTGTAAGGCTAATACACACAGTGCTGTACCTTTGGAGTACTCTTGGGAAGCCGTTGTAATGAGAGAACACTGTAAAACCAAAAATGGACTATTAATTTAGAAAACTGATCTTGGGAAGCGAGCAAATTCCATTATCTCCTTGTCAGATTGATCCAGGACGCAGGAAGGATTAAGTGCTGTTCAGTGACCTCCTGTAATGTGATTTCTTTGGGAAACTGTCTTGAAGTTCACTGTAAATTATTTTAATTTTAGCAGTTACATAAACTAATCAAGCACAGGGTTTCAAAACAGACAAGCAGTTAATCGCCAAGTCAGCGAACTGAAGGAAGAAAGATGCATTTGTAAAGCACTCAGCCCAGCAGCCACTTCTGAACAGATAACCCCGCAACCATTACAGGCCTAAATGCACAACGGCTCCAGATCCTTTACAAACAGGCTGCTTCTCAGTTCAACAATGGCAGCAGATTCAACAGTAAGAAATCACTAATCATTTGGTTTCTAGTAGGAACATCTGCTGCCCTTCCCTGAGACCCCTAAGCTGGCCAGAGCTCAAACGTTATTCTTGAAGGACTGGATTCATTATTAATTAATTAAACCTTCTCCTGGGCAGCTTTCCCTTCCGGATAGTCGTACCTGCGATATTCATCCTTTAGTGATGAAAAATGCCAAACACACAGCCACCACAGGCTGGTACCTCTGTAAGGATTAAAAATGAAAACTACACCAGCAGTGGAAACCCAGACCTTTTTAGAAATGCCCTTTTATTGCTTTCCCACATTTCCCAACATCCTGAATATGGCTTTGAAGGAACTCTGCACACATCCTGGTTCAGTTGCATTTCGCATCAAAATAATGCCCAACACTGCGACCGCGAGACGGGACGAGATCCAAACCCCACTGCCTGTTCCGTTCGCCGAGGTACCACCTAGCACAGGACGGCTGCATCTAACGCTGCCAGTCGGAGTCACCATTTTTGCAGTTCTTCCACTTGATACTGTTCAAAGCAGCTTAGACTGACAGGGCAAATGCAGCCCCAGCAACCGCCTATAGTATTAAACGTTACCACAAAACCATGATTTGGTCGGGAAAAAGCTTCTCATATTTAGCATTCTGGTTCTAGCACTGTCTCCCAAGCTTCCACAGCTGTTACCTGTCACATTGCTCCGTGGCGCAACCTACCCTGAGATAACAATTTAAGTCCAAATTCAGGTCCTAGACTAAAGATGACAGCGCAGACTCCAGCTTATATTCACAATGGCCTCATTTCCCCCTCACTGAACATCTTCTCCTTGGTCATGCACACGGGGTTTCTAAAAAACAGTCTCAGAAGCTCTCCTTCCAATGCTCAAGTACTGCTATAACTGCTCTTCACCATGCAAACATCTCTCTAACACTCCAAAATTAAGTCCAAGGCTCCTCCCTTCTATTTCACTCCCCTTCTGAGGCATCAGAATTCCAGAAATCTGAGTGACCAGACCTAGCCAGCAGAGGAAAAGCGATTTTAATTCAAACCGCACTGGAGACCCAAAGTTTTCTAGATTTTTAAAACTGCCCCTATCAAACAGAACAGAAAGAAGCTGCACCTCTGCTTCCAGTGCATTCTACCACATTTACACCTATTAACCGCAAGCACAGAACCTCCCCATGATGTTACCTGCCTGCTACATCCAGCTGCCACGGGACCTCTAACCCTTCCGGAAAGGAGGTCAGAGCACAGCAGAACTGCTAAATACACATCACCAACCACAGGAACAGACTGAGGCACTTACCCATCTCTACCTTTACTGACGATCTTCACTTCAAAGTAATAAATGCCACAGGCTGCAGGAATAGGGTGCGTGGCCCTGACCGAGGCGGCATCTTTGTGATTTTTACCGTGACCTAGGGAAGAACAGAAGGGTAAGTACTGATAGGATCTGAACCCTCCCAAGTTTTGCTCTGAAACACCACTACCTGAACACAGCAGGGATCTGTTTTGACATCTATGTAACAATTTCAAGAACAATTTAAAGCTCACTTGTCAGAGAACTAGAACACGCAACCCTGCCCAACCACCACGAACGATCCACCTGCTACAAGCACCGTTGCGGTTCCTTTGTTTTTGCCGGGAGGCTACCAAGGGAGGCTTGCGGTCCTCCCCCTCCCCACACGCACCATTTGAAGACCGATGTACACCAACAGAAGACAAAAATGATTACACAAGAAGGGAATGACATCAGTGTTTACTTCGTTCTCTGCTGGGTAGGTAGGGAGAACGGCCTCCAAAAGCGAGCAAGAACAGCATCTGGGCGATCCCCCAAGCCCCAGAAGCCTGCGAGCACCTATTTTGCGTAAACCCGAGGAGCCGAAGCCCCTGTTACGCCGCGCCTCGACGCCACCCGGCCCCGCGGCCGGG